GATGGATTTTTGTTTCAAATATTGTGGTTGTGGAATGGCAATTTAGTATTATGAATGCTGTAAAATTTTGTTTATATGTTTTGGTTTGGCTATTTCTCTTGTGAGTATGTGATCATTAAGCTGGATTAAAGTAGTATGAATTTTCAAGGTTTTGATTTGGTTTGGATTGATCTATTGAGATGATTCTTAACAAAATTAGCATTGTCAATTTCGGAGCAATGTGATATTGAAAGGCATTTAAATCGGAGGAGACACTTCACCAGAAGATTATGTTGGGTTCGACGGAACCCAGGTCTACTAGGTTCAATGGAACCCAGCAAGAGGGGGAAGAAGACGGATCGAAAAGGAAAGGAGGAACCTAGCAGATCTGGGTTCTAGGAAGAAAGAGAAAGAGACAAGGGAAAAAGATGGATTGAGAGGGAGAGGAGGAACCCAGATGTGGGTTCTAAGAAGAAAGAGAAAGAGAAAGGGGGAAGAAGATGGATCAAGGGGTAGTAATGTAATTTTGTTGTTTTTAATTTCTTTTTATTATAAATATAAATATTCATCTGATGTGGCATTTTTTTGTCCATGTAATTCAATTATAAGATATATTATTGCTGTGTCATTAAAAAAATATAAAAAATGCCACGTGACTGAATTAACAGCTCAAATTGACGAAAGGACCAACGATGTGCACTTCTTAAACTTGAAGAATCAAAAAAGTGCACAAAATACTTTAGGGACCAAAAATTTGCAAACTAATAAAGTTGAGAGACCAAAATGGGCATTTAACCTATTTTTAATTTTTTATATAATAATTTATTAATTACTTTCTCAATAAAAACTTAATTAATAAAATAAACCTTAAATTTTATTATCAATTAAGTCACTATATTTTGGGTTAATTACTGTTTTATCCCAATCATAAAAAGCAAGCTTCATTCATTGCTTTATCTACCCTCTCACGTATTTCTACAACAATAATATGAACTCAGAACTTATATTAGATCATTGGAATTGAGTTATGTTATTTAGGTAGAAAATTTTCAAGTTCAAACGAATCAAAATATCAAGTAAAATTAAATGAATGGATAAATTAGGTTATGAGGATTTTGAGTAAAAATAGCCAATAAAATCTTTCTTCTCTATAAATTAGGTTATTAGGTTTCAAGTAATAGCATTTTTCTACAAATTTCTTAGTTTTAAATGATGGATGCGTAGAAGCAATTCTTAATTAAAAGGTTTTGGCGACAAAATTAATGGGGTTGGTTTTGAAATATAAATTCGGAAGATTCTCATCAAAACCCCTTCGATTAGGGGTCAAAATCAGTGTGTTGTTGCTAAGCTTCGCTCACCTAAAAATGTGTTAATTATGGGCTAATCTTTGTAGTACTATGGAAGCAAAAACTTTAGGTGACCCACCGCCCATGTTTTAAAAACTGTGCATATTTTAAATTTCTTTTTCCTTCTACACAAATACCCTTATGGTCTGTGTTATTATTTTATATTTTATTTAAATAAATATTGTACAATTTAAATGGTATAATTTAAATCATTAAATAAAAAAACCCATAATATTTATGAAGATTATTTTTATTTAATAATTTTTATTTTATAATTCAACACAATTTAAATTTTAAAAAAAAAGCATTTCACTTTATTTTTATAATACATAAATCTTCCATTACTCTTTCATTGAATAATTTTGTCTGGATAGTACACCCAATATCGGTTCCTGTAATCCTATTGTATTTGGGGGAAAATAAATTGCTTAATTTGGTGTCATAATTGGAAGCATGCTGAGTTGTTTAGCACCCCCAACCACACTTCTTATCTTCTGTTTTGAATTCAAAACCCGGTATATGTCCCTGGTTAGCATGATGGTGGCCTTCGAATTCTTTGTATCTGTAGACACCTATTCTGTGCAACATCCAAAATATATAATTTTGTCAACCCTATTTATAAATGATATCCTCAGTGTAGCAAGGAAGAACCATCCAAACGAATCTTGGAAATCTAGGCTACGTATCAATAATTAATCTTTGACATCTATACTTCATGTGTGTGACCATAGGAGAGGAGGGATTGTGCATCCACTGGTTAATTAATATTTAATTACATGCTGATCAATTAAATGATTAATAGTAAATAGAATAGATATAAAGTTTTGATTAAATCAATAAATGACATAATTATTTAAATCTAGCTAAAAACCTAAAAATAAAGTTTGTTTTATTAGCTTTAATCGTTAAGTTTAGACCATTTATATTTTATTTAATCATAGATAACTTTAATTTAGTTCAAAGAAGTATAGTTGCTACCATACCAAAACTTCATTGGCAATCAACTAGGTTTAATTTTTTTAAGACGTAGGAATTAAGTATAATTGCTATTTGAAAATGTAGGTAATAATTAGCGGGATGAAGTGATACTATGAAACAATGTGTTTTATTGATGATTACTTCGCGTATTTGACAAAATAATTTGATGGAGAATATATATCTGTTTTGAGGAACTGACAGCAAACAAAGCACTTCTTATCTCCATGAAAGTGGGTACTAAAAGCAACAGATTGTTCCCACGTCCACATTTTAGATCTTTTTCACTCTTGAAAATGTTGTGTACATGTGTTAGACAAATATGGATTTGAAATTTGAACTTTTAAATTCTTCTTCTTTTTTTTTCCTTTTTTTTTTAATGCCCTGCCTGTTCATTTTTATCAATTCCACCCTGGCTAGGAGGAGACTTCATATTTGATTATCAAACTTTAGAAAATAAGATTTTGGGGTGAATATCTAGTGATGTTGTACTAGTGTGATCCATTCAATGTGTCTAGAGAAGAGCCAGCTAATGTCAACTTTATAAACTCATGATTTTGATAGCAACTTCAGTAAATATGAGAGAGTATGACATCAATTCCAGTGTAAAACAAGTTGAATTTGAGCACGCATCTATAATGAATTCCCTTGACTTTAACATTTTTTTTTTCTACTACACCTTTTTGTCCCACAATAATACCATGCACATAGTGTAAGAAAATAGTATTCATTGTTGTTGTGATTAATTTATATATTTTTTTATCAATTTTTTATTAAATACTATAAAGATAAATATGAAGGAGAAGATATTGGTATTGAGGTGAATTATTGATATGAGCTGTTACTATAATGGTAAAATGAAAAAGAAAAATTAATGCCTAACGATAGTTAATTTAAGAAGAAATTAGTAGAAAAAACAATAAATATTGTGAGATGTAGGAAGTAGTATTTTCTTTGTTGTTTTTTGATTAAATTTTTGTTCTAAGTTAATTATCATTTCATATTGAATATTTAAGGTACATTAATTTTTTTTTTTTTTTTCACATTTAAGTAGCGCTATTGTGCTAACTATACTTGCCAAATCAAATGGTGCCAAATACGGGGCCTGTTGATATGCACTTGTTCTTGACAGAGTGTAACAAGTGTAATTAGTATTTTTCTTTTTATTTTAATTTTGTAATAAAATAATGATTGATGCTCTTAGTCACAAAAATAAATCATATAAGGGTAGAAATGACAAAATATTAATTAATTTTTCTTCTCTGTGCATGGTAAAAAAAACAGCAATTAGTGAGCAAGAGAGAAAGTACTTTTCAATGGTCGAACTTGGCAACCATAAACATGCCAATTATAATTGAAATTAGCTATGGAAATACTTCTCAACTTGGTAGCTAAAGAGGGACGTGTGATGATGAATGGGGACGGGGGGGGACAAGGACATTTGAGGGGGAGGCGAGGGGTGGGAAAGTGCATGGACACAGGCATATATATAGCTGGGTTTTGGTTGTACATCTTGGAAAATTGGTGGTGAACAACGCACCGTCCATTGCACTTCAGCAACTCAGGGAGTAAACAACCAACTTTTTGGCTTATGCATGCGCCAAATAAAAGCATATAGTCTTATCAATAAATGCTCAGAAACGTGTAATGTGTAGTAATTAAGGATTTAAATCTTTATATTAAAAATTTTATGTTTAAATTTAGAAAAAAAAAAAAGGATAAGAAAATGATTTGTGGAAGAGAATAGTTGTCAAGGGTCACCATCTGACCTATTAAAAAAATATATCCTTAATAATAATAATTTTTTATTTCTGGCGTAATTTCCTTTTTATTTCTTGAACCTTGGCAGAGGGTCAAGGGCTAATTATTCCAGTTGGTATGATGTTGGGTCCACCAGGGGCCAGCCCCAACCCCGTCTTGTCTTGTCTATAATCTATATCAGGGCCCTTTCAGGCTCGTGGATCTTTACAACCAGCCCAGTCTCTTTGTCTAGCACAAAATTGGGCTCGGGTTTTCCTTTTAATAATTCCCTGAATTTTTAGGATGAATTAAGCGTTTGTTTGGTCAGAAAATATTTTATCTTTCTACAAAAACTGAAGGTAGGCTAAAGGTAATATTTGAAGAAGCCTTTTTCCGTTCCCCCCTTCCCCTTTTTTTTTAATCATTTTTTATTTTTTAATAACTACTTTATTTACCAATAACTTATTAATATGAGTGAAATGAAATCAGTTCTTTTTAAATAAAATTTTAAATTCGAATCTTATAAATAAAAAAATAAATGTTAAGAAAACTTTCTTCTTATGAGGTTCGTTGCCACTTAATTTTGAATTAATTGAGATTTAATGTGACTGTCAAATATCGAGAGTTTAGTAAAAAAAATAACTACTTTATTTATAATTTTGTACCTTTTGTAAAAGGTCTATTTATACTCCCTCAGTTCAATTTTAATAAGCCTTTTTTTTGTCTAATAAACTAAATAGGTAATAATTTATTGATAAATTTTTATATTTACCCTTAATTAACACTTTTTATTTAATATATATTATAATTATTTTTTAAAAAATAAACATATTAAATAAATAATATATTAAAAAATAAACAACTAAATTTCAACAATTTAAATTAGAAATTAGATAACTACATCTACTAAAATTGAATAGATGAAATATATAATACCTCAATAAAAGTTGCAGTTAAATCAAAAGGGTGTAAATCGAATCTCCCCCATGAAAATTTACCAAACAACGCAACTTGGTTTGGTCAAAGGAAAAGCCAGTGCTTTTCTCATCAAAAGTTTCTGGGCTTTGAGGTCTTAGGTAAAAATTATGGGCTTGAGTTGATTTGGGCTAAATTCACCAGTTAACAGCTCAAGCCCATACCATTATAACTCTCCATGGAGAGTTAGTGAGTTACAGTCCTTTCCTTGAGCATAGAATTTTCAAGTTGAACGAACCAAATTTAAACTCTATTTTTGTCACATGGTACATAGTTAAATATACCCCCAAAAAAATGTCAAAGCATAATTGGATTCAAGTCCTGACACGAGGAGTTAGGTAAGAAGAGATCATCATAAATAATCTAATGTAAAAAATTGCGTAAAAGAAAAACTTAAAGAGTAATTTCTTCTAGTAACTAGACACTATGAAAAGTGGAAGAAAATGAAAAGAGACATATTAGCCATAGAGTAGAAATGGTTGTTGTGAAATTGAGATGTTGTTGACGACTTAAAACCTGAACCCATTATAGTACTCTTTTTTGGTCCGCATAACACACCTTTGTTGTTAAGATTTTGAATTATAAGTCCTTAGTCTTAATCTCACCAAACCTAGTGAAGACGAAGGGGCTTCATAGGAGCTAATTAATCACATCGATCATTACCATAATTTTGCTGTTTTATCTTCCTCTAACAAGACATGGTAAACCTTTTCAGATTCAAACCTCCAAAGAAACCGGC